GAGAGAGAGAGAGGGGACTGCAGTGTCAGAGAAGGAGAGGCACAGAAAGAGGGAGAAGCAGAACCAGTCCCCACATATGAATTTGAAAAAGAAAAAGAAAAGCAAACATACTTAGCTTCTAAAAATCCAAAACACACCCATGCCAAATTAAAATGACAAGACTTTGGTTGCATCCAAGTCCTGCATCTCAAAAAAAAAAGAAGAGAGAAAAAAAGAAAGAAGACAGAACCTTGTCTCAGATTCAGTGGACCAAAATGCTCAGGCTAGTTTATCTTCTCACATCTGATAGATCCAATTCCATTCAATTTAATTTCAGTAGGTTGCATCAGTAACTTTCCTAGTTGATCTCCAGAGGAGATAATCTAGATCTCCAAGGGTGTAATGATTGGTTTTCTAGGCTTTTCTTCCATGGATTAATTACATGATTCATGTGTGATGGGACTTTGAGTCAATTCAGCCCATGTTTATGATTAGCAGCATCATTTTGTTGGGTAATTGCCTGTCATGCATCAGATTAGAATGCCTAGTAATTGGATTCTGTGTCCTAGTACTTAATTCTTATCACTTACTGGACTCCATGCACAAAAAGCTCTCACTAGCTGCTTCCTAATGAACAAAGGGTAGAACAAACCTAAAGGCTAATAATGACTGCAAGATGCATCATCTTTAGAGCTTTCCATGTCCAAACATCTTCTGGAGCTTAAGGAATGTTCTCAATCATAAGATGCTTTTTCTATTTTTCTTTTGTGTAGGATGAGATCCTGGAACATTTATCATGAGAAAGAAGACATGAAAACTTTTAAATGGAATTTCTTCACAAAGGACTGTTGGATCATCAATCACTACTTACAACTTAGATTCAAATCACTTTATTCTTGCCTCTCCCTCACTTTATTCCATCTAGCCTCATCCAAAGTTCCTTTTCCACCTGTGTTTTTCCCTCCCCCCTTCCCTTTTGTTTCATCTCCTCTTAGGTTTCAGTTTCTAGTTGTGGCATTAACATTAAATACATCTCAATAACTCTTTTACTCGTTCATGCAGCAGAGTAAGAAAGGCAAACTGGATGTGAGCAGTACATGGTAAAAAACTGTGACAATACTTTGGAAGCCTTGTGTGGTTACGTGTGGTAGTGACTTTTCTGTACTATGAACCTTCTTCCCCTGCCTCCCCAATCTTTTCTCTCTCCTTTCCTCATCTCTCTCTCTCTTCTTCGGCCTTTCCTTTTTTTTCCTGTTTTACTTGTGATAACAATACATTCATTAAAAAATGTACTCCATTAATACATACATACATCAGCTTCAAACAGCAGGCTACAGGATCAAGCAGAGTGATCCAGACAATTCAATGAATCACAAGCTTTTGTGATTGCCATTAATAAGGATGCGTTATTCTCTCCGCGTGAGAGAGAGAGAGAGAGAGAGAGTGGGATTAGGATGGGAGAGCATGTGGTGGGGAATTAATACCGAAGAGGGACAGTTGTGCCAGCAAATTAAATGGGATCTGACGACACACTGATCAAGAAGCAAAGCCAAAGCCTCCCCAATCCAACCTTGGGATCTATCAGCCAAACACATCCTATCCAATTCCAGGTTACTGAGGCAGTGTTCAAAGCAGTAGTATCCTTGTGTATGCAGTAGGATTACATACCTTATCCTCCAAGTCCCCTGTACACATCCCTAGAGCCAAATACTTTCCATCATGGCTTTGTCAAACACTCAATCAAATGCATAGTATGAATTTTAACTGTGTGTTTAACAACATATCCTGCTTTGATTATGCAGGCAATCCAACTTATTGGTCCTCCTGCTCAAAGCATTTTAGCAGAACATTTCAGATTAGATTGGAACACTTGTTAGATGATAAGATCTCATTGATACAGGTCCAGTTCCAGTGTTTCCATGCTAATCATGTGCATAGAGCAATCAACTCCTCAGGTGTTCCACCTCCTGATGGACCACACTCGTATATTTCGAAAAAGTGGACCACAATCATTTTAATGGACTGGAATAGAGGAAGATTATCCTGAATTATCTATCCATTTCAGGCTTCTTCCCCAAATTTATTTTTCCTTTTCTTGTTTTTCTCTTTGATTTGATTATGTCGTCTTCTTCGAAATGGGGGTTGGGCATTGGATGCTGGAGGGCTGTGCCTCTTTCTCCCTGTTTCTCCTTTGTTGATAGAATTTTCTCTTTTCCCTTTGAGTAAAGCAAATGTGAATCCGCATTCCTTTTGTTTGATTAGCGGAACCTTCTCTTTTTTTTTGTTGCATGAACCAGACAATGGAGAAAGAAGTAAAGCAATTCCAAGTCCAGTGACAACTGTGGTGCAATTCCATTGATGTGCCAAGTGACAACACCACGAGTAGAACAGAGTTCTGCCGATGCTTGCTGAAATGAAGCTGATTAGTGTGGTTTTGTCGATCCACCTGCATCAAAGGACTCTGCGGAAGTGCAGTGTGACCATGAATTCAAGCTCGAAGGAGGAGTTATGATTTCGAGTTAGAACTTTCACTTCTTCTTCTTCTTCTTCTTCTTGGAGCTGAGAGCCCTTTAACCAGGGACGGCGGTGTCCATTGCAGAGGAAGCTCCCTAAGCAAACCACAACCTGTAACGCAACTAATACAATGAAAAGGTCTGCTCGCAAGTGCACCGAGGAGCTGCAGAGGTTGCTTGGAAGGGAGGAAATAGACGCACACCGAGCTTTCGGAAAGCTTTTCCTTATCTTGAAGAGAAACTAAGGCACTTAGAATTGTGATTTGAAGGTGCTTTGAGGCTTAATGGATGTGCGCAGGTGCCATTAAACAAGCATTACTCCTGCCACTGGAATTGCTTTGGCATGCGTCTTAGGATAGCAGTTATCATAAGCCCATTTAACAATCCCCGTTCCGTTTGGTGGAACTCTACATGTCGTCCACTGACTCATCTAAGCGTCTCCTAAAAGCTTCAGCCACAAGTCATTTGCAGGAAGACAAAGCTGTAAGGAAGCAACCTAATGTTCTTTATGGATCCATGTAAAACCAAGAAAATCCATCATGGTAAAAATCTTGGTTTCAGTAGGTTCCACTTCTCAACACAAGTATCATGCTGCATGTTAAAGAAATGAATCAAAAGCGACCACCAGGCACACAGAATTTCCAATCTCTGACATGAGCAACAGAAGCTTGCAATCATACTCATCAAGAAAGCTTCATGTTCTCTTCCACATTTGCTTATCCCAAACATGAAGGCCGCTGCCAGGAGTCATGATTCTAGCCCACACTAACTCGAGCACTCTCCCATTCCCCTCCCTCTCATCCTGCGTAATGAGTCAAAGAGTACTACTACTACTGGGTTTCCTTGGATTGTAATCTTCCCACCACTTCCTGGTTCACTACTTCACTGGCAAATGGTCTTCATGAACTTGGCTTCTTTTGCTCTCGCATGAACTATTCTGCCAATGTCATGAGCTGCTGTGAAATCATTCGAACCCAACTCTACACTGCAAAAAACACATGCAAATGGGGTTTGAGTGTTCTTTGAAGGTTTCCGGGAATGGCAATGCAATGAGTGTCGGCTCCAAAAGTCTTGGCCACAATTATAATTCACCTTCCTACAGGCAAAAGAAAAAGTATTCTTCTTCTCGGTAAAGATCATCCAACGTTATATAGCACCAAAGACCTTAGACGATAAGATTAAGAAGCGGGAGTGTCTGCAACTTTTGCAACAGATCACTATTCACAGAAATTGGAGATGTTTGCATTATGTCCATCATAATGCCGAGACACTTTTACAGTGCCACGTCTCGTCCAAAGTACAAAAAGCAGTGGAAGCGTGTTGGTGAAACACACGGATCGTGGCGGTAGCTGCGAGAGCAACCGGAGTGATGGTATGGGACAGGGGAGCAAAGGAGAGCGATGGAGTGGTGTACTTCGTTGCAGTAGGTGAGAGCAGAGGGGAAGGGGATTAGGGGAAAGCAAAGGGAGGAGGATGATGACGAGGAGGAGGCAGGGGCGGGTCACTTGCTTCCGCAAGAATCTTCATCAGAGACAGCACCACCGACACTGCCCCGTGATTTCGTCTCAGTCCTCTGTGTCAGAGCTCCGTGGGTCGCATGAGCAGTCAAGTTCCCCCCTGTTCTCTCTCGCAGAACGCAATTGCAGGAGCAAAACGATTCTCTCTCTCTCTCTCTCTCTCTCTCTAAAAGACCACCATTTCACGACGCAAAGGATAACACGATGATCGATTCTGCTGCTTTGTGATGTGTTCAAAACAAAATAAAATCTAAAAATCTAAAATGCCCAACTCAAAACTTTAATTTTCTTGGTGTCATATTTAAAGTCTTGGATGGCTTCTTTTGCATCATTAAACATCAAAACAAGCAAATAAAATATTAATATATCATTCTCGATCATATTATATATATATATATCCATGTCTTTGGTTTGTCAAGATTTTTATTTGGATGATAAAAGGGTACATAAAATTTCGATAATGTGTATTTGAAATCCTTGCTGACCGGAGGAATTCGAGGACTTTGACTAACATATGAGTGTTTCCTATGTGGAGTTTAAGATCTTTGGATTTGGATTGTAAGATTTCTCGACGAAATGTGTTTTTTAGGATATGATAAAAAGCGAAGGCAAATCAAGTAGCCAAATCGATCTCCGATTTGTTTGATTTCGACTTATAAACCATTCATCTTCAGGAACAAGCTTGAGCAATGGCAAGAAGAATTCTCACTGTGCCTTAGCCATTAATTGCGAGTGCTTCATGATTCGAAGTGAAAGCTTGGACATCATTATCAAGTGGATCACCAAATCCTAAGCTCTCTCGATCAACCAGCTTCCATACCCTACATCTTAGTTGGCGACGTTGACTTCGCTCGGGTGCAGTTATGTTGTCTTCTCCGACTACTTTTTGCTAGCTTCGAAGCGGAAAAAGAGAAGAAGCATGGAGACTTGGCCGTGTGGAGATTCCCACCACCTATAGTTCTGTCTTCGATCGGTAAAGCAGCTATGTTGTGTCATGGTGATAAGATCAAAGGAAGCATGATTCCATCTCCCTTATCTCTGGACTTGACGAAAGACAGGAAAAGGAATGAATTCTTATTCTCAAAGCACTCCAAAGGTCCACATTTCTTTTCTTCCTCTTGTCAGCAAACCATACAAAAGTTCCAATATATCTTATTATTATTACAGCTTTTTGTGATAGCATTTCTTGCACTCATGAAAGATTTATTTGCATACATATAAGTAATGTGACGCATCACACCATCGACATCAAATAGGTAGGTAGATATATAAGATGATCACACAACAGCCTTGGAGGCCTTGATGTCCTCGCCACCCTTGTCGGCCTCCTGCGCGATGTTGATCAGCCTCGGCTGCCTCCTTGTCCCCTCGACGAGCTTCGGCACCGTCACCCGTAGCACGCCGTCCTCCAGGTGGGCCTTAACGGCGTCCACGTCGGCGCTAGCCGGCAGCCGGAACTGCCGCCAGAACTTGCCGGCCATCCGCTCGGCCCGGTGCCACTTCTCGCCCTCCACCTCCTCCTCCTCGCCCTTCCTCTCGCCCGTTATCCTCAGCACCCGATTCTCCTCCACCTCTACCTTGATGTCTTCCCTCCTCACCCCTGCGCGAAGAGCTCGGCCATGTCAGGGACCGGCAAGCAAAGACGACGACGAGTAATGGAGCGGATGGAGCGCGAGGATTAAAGCAACGAACCTGGGACGTCGAGGGAGATGACGTGCGCGTGGGGGGTCTCCTTCCAGTCAGCGCGTGCGAGCGCGAGCGCGTCCACGGCCTTGGGGACGGTGAAGGGTGTCTGCTCCAGGATGCGGAAGGGATCGTCGTAGGCGGCGGGCATCATCATGTCCCACAGCCTCCCGTAATACGGCATCAGCCCGTTAGCTGCCGGCGCAGCACACGAGGCCAAGAAAAGGACAACGAACAGTACAAGGAACGGCGAGCGCCTCATTGTGAGCCGGTGATCAGATGGTTTCTTTCAGATGATGCGTAGAAGAAGAAGAAGAAGGGAGCACTGCGTAGCTTCAAGGAACTCCAGAGATCGCACTTGATCTGGATCTTGGAATAGGATGGAGCTTCCATTTATAGTGGAGGAGGCGTTTCCAGAGTCATCCCTTCCCGGTTCTGGCAGCTTCTGGTGGTCTCAGGATGAAGATGGCGTCGGTGTGCGTTGGTCTGGAATGCTCTCTCGCGCGTGGAAAGCGGATGCGCGGCGTGGCTTGAAACGGGTTTTCTCATGTACACACGTATACCCGATCCATTTGTCTAATCGGATTCGGATCACATATGTATTCCTAGACTTATCTTTGCCCACTTTCTTATGAGAATATTAACCCAGCATTATTCTGTTCAGCTTGTGAACACCATAGTCAACGATCTGCAACCAATAACCAGTTTGCTACTTCAACCAGGATCAATATGGAGAATCAGCTCTAAAACATAAGATCTATGGCTTTTAATCTCTGGTGTCCTCTGGGTGAGGATCGCAAAGCCTTTCAATCTAGTAGCACCACTTCGAATATTAATGGATTTTTAATCTTGAAGCATATTTCTTGATTTCATGGGCAAATTGCATCACAATTCCAAGTAGTTTCACCATCATAGTAACAAATAACAAGATCTTGCAAAGAAAGATGCGGAAGGGATATCTTGCGAAGTAGTGACAGGGAACCCGAAACCTGTCACTACTCATATCACAATCGAAGTACTTTGACCACAAATTTCTCATGAATGGTAGTCTAGAATTAACAGGAGAGATTTATTACAGTATCAGAGTCAACCAATAAATTATTGTTGAAAAGAAAGATGAGCAAAAGACTTCATGACCTGCATTGCAAATGATGTATAAGTTGCCGTAATTGGCAGGGCTTCTTTTACTTTAACAATAATGATTATACTAACAACCAATCATCCTTTCTTTGACGTAATCCTCTGCTTCGTCCATTCTTCCATGTTTTTTCGATGATGAGAATTCATTCTAATGAAAGGACGCTTCTCGCGGATCATCTTCTCAGCATCTTTCCAGCTTTCGGCCACTCCTAATTCAACTAGGAGTGCACACATTACACAGACACTTCTGCCATGGCCTGTTGCATTGACGGATCATCAGCAGAAAGAACAGATAAAAGGAGAAATGTAAACACCTTCCAAACAAACAAATAGGCAATAATGAAGAAAAACTTTAAGTGTATAATGCTGTGCATACTGCATAGTATATAGAAATGTTGAGCATGAAAAAAATAGCACATATTCATAAAACTAATGGTATTCTAGTCTTTGCAAAGGATAGAAAGCTTGCAATATGTTCAATACTCTAGATCAGTTACAAACTCCTTTCAATCAACATCGCAACATCTGGGACAGATAGTAAAGAAGATGGAGCATATACAAGAAGTGCGCTTTGTGGCACATACTAGCAATAACCAAAAAATTTGCATAGGCAGATGTCATGACCAGCAGAACACCATGATGCACAATGCAAACAATTTTCTTATATGGTTACACACCTACTTGTGCTGACTACCACAGTGATTTTTAAGCATGAAGATAGTTCTACTTTGTACTTTTAGAATAAATCTTTCTTGACTGAAATGACATCAGTAAATTTTGGGAAATACTCTACTGGCATTGCTACTGCAATTATAGAAATAATTTGGCATATTTCAAGCACACACTGAAAGATAAATGCAGCAAAATAATCCTAAATGGAACAAATGATAGTTCTTGATCTACATTTGAGACAACCTTTTGTTGCTTCCAAGTAACATGCCACTTATATATACTGCAATATCTACATAATGGAAAGTGATAATCAATGACCTACATGAAAGATACTTATGAAATGTCAAATTATTAAAAGATCCTTAAAAAGCCACTCTGAAAAATGACATTCTTCAACATGTTTCACGGACTAGAATATAGAAATGCTTACACAAAATTTTGCTCAGGCTGTAACTAGTTTAAACGCTCCTCAAGCAGAAAATTAAGGCTACCATTTATATTGGGTTTCTGAGATATCTTATTTATATATAACATATTCACTTCAGAATGTAAGCTGCTGTTTTCATCCTTTCCCCAAACTGCAAATTGAAATAACAATGTTCACCTGGTGAGCTGGCAATGCAAGTTTGATGCATGCAGCTGAATTCTATCATTTCTTTTATGGTACAAAGTTGAATAGTACAATTGGGCTCAAACTACATTAACTTAAGAAAAGGAAATAAAAGAGAATCCAAAGAAAACCATTAATAAATTAGTATCGCCTAAAGTAACCAACTGGAAGTAGAGAGGATTCTTACCATTTGCACAATGAATGTAAATTGGCTTCTTTTCAGCTCTCTTTTGGCATGCCCAACGAACCGCAGATTCAATCTGTGCTGGACTTGGGGACCTTGAATCCCATAGAGGTATGCAAAAATATGCATCCTTGTTAATAAAAGAGCCCTTCGGTAATTCACATGTGCAATCGATTACTACAGGATCACCAGGAGGCATCTGACTTGGGGAAGTAGGCCAACCCCCAACATACAGATTTTCAGAAACTTCATTGTACAATGACTCCCTCCTCTTCAACCTTTTGAGCACAGCATATAACCTAACAGACACTAGATATGGGCCGAAAATAAACTTTGCCCAGAGAGGGAAACTTCCATCAGATCTCTTTCCCAAGAGCGATGGCAAATTTATGGATGGATGAGATGCAATGGAGACCGAATACCCAACCAAAGCACCAACTAAGAGAGGTATTGGCATGTAAGTAAATCCAGATTTCTTGAGGTAGATAGCTGCTGAGAAGAGAACTGTTGCCGCACATCCGACAACCTTTGATATCCCCATTATTTCTTTTCTTTAAGGAAAAATTGTTTCTAACTTTTTACCTGAGCCAAAAGTGGATGTAAATTTGAATGAAAATTACATGATGCAATTTTTCTCAAAAAGAAGAAAAATAACATATATACTATTGAAAAACACAGATCGAAGGAATCAGCAAATGAATTTTATACCTGACTAACTAGGTTTACGAGATGAATTACTGTAAATGTAAGGCTTTCTTGCCTAAAAATAGCAAGATTGCAGCAATTAGAGATAACCAACACGAACAAGATCTCCACAATCAAAAGCCTTCATTGTTAAGATACATTATATGACATCTTCACACGTTCTATTAGAAGATCTTGTAAATGACTATTGTAGAAAAATTGGGACTTCGAAAATAGAAATCTGTTTTAATGTACGAAACCCACTGAAGCATAAGAAAGATACCCAGTCCTACAGCTCAGGTTAAAGCAGCACTCAGTGGTTTCTTACAAACATCCAAACTCAAAAGTCCAATCCAAAAATCATCCTGATCATACTACAATCATTCTCATTTTAAGCAGTCAACTTTGTAATCGAATCTACTCAATCAGATCAAGCTACTTGCTTATTACCAAAAAAAAGTAACTATTTTTCTTTTGTAAAAACCTAAAACAAGTTCAAATCCGAAAAGGGAGGTAATCAACAAAGAAGTGAAAGAGGATCCCGATTACTTTCAAAAGCAATTGAGGCCGAGGCCCGACCTTTGATGACAGCGCGAGAGCAGGCGATTGAAAGGCCGACGAGAGATACGGACAGGAAAGAAGCAACAAACCTACAAGCCGAGGAGGAGGGGGCGGAGCAGGAGGAGAAGGGGAGCCCCTCACCCCATATTTGAGCGCCGAGGGGAGTGGATCGCCATTAGAAAGGAAGTCCACAAGCCCGCTTTGCATCTTTTCATTTGCCCAGCGACCAAGGGATCCTACTGATTAACGTGCAGAACCACGTAATAAGAGACAACTTAGATTAGCAGCGGTCTTATGACACGTACCCGAGCTGTTTGCTGATGGTTTACGTGTCGAAATAGGCTTCAGTTAGGATATTCTGTATGGTTTCATCGTTTGCATACGATCCTCCCGGTTCAACTCTAGGCCGGGAGCAGTTCTTTTCTGTTTGGACCGGACCGATTGTGCTGCATGTATAATAAATAAATAAATTTATAAAATGATAATAGTTTCGATACATGAACAAAATACAAATTTATACGAGAATAATAATTCTGATATAATGTTGCGTACATGTTATTGGAGTGCATGTGGTGTCCGGTCAGCTTTTAACAAAACTAATTACATATTATTTATATAAATAATTATTTTTAACATCATAATCCTTATATTTTTAAAAATTATATTAAAATTTTTATATTTACTAATATAAAATCTTTAATCTTATTTCTCCTTACGTCATCGATTCTATTGAAGAAAAATATCATACGTATTTAATGATAAACCAAATGATACGTAAACTCTACGATATTTTCGTCAACAAAGTTAAACAGAACTAAATATTTTTTAAAAAAAATATAAATATCTTAATATAAATTTTTAAAAATATAAAAAATATAAAGATCGAGTTATTAAATATAATTAATTATGAGGGACAATATGTAATTAATTTGTTTTAAATAATGAATGATCAAAAGCATTGTACATAAATAGTTATTTATGAAGATTATTACAATTGTATTAGTTTCTCATTAAGCATAATATTTAGCTACTTTGTAGATGACGCTAGTTAGATCCATTAAATAATGTAATTTTCAAGTTGAAATTTACCTGTTCCTGACGCATTAAATTATTTTTAATACCAACAAATCAACTATAAGTATATATATCAATATTAATATCGACCCTCACTCTTTTTAAGTGGATGTTAATGTCTCACCAAAACGAAAATTCGAAATCATTTGGAGGGATGAAATGAAATGAAAAGAAAAGAAGCAAACGAGGGCGGAGGCGGCTTTTCTGCCTCCATGTGGGTTCGTGGGGCTTCCTCCCGAAGCAGATGTTGTCCTTGTTCCCATCGATCGCCATGGTTTCCTCCTACTCCTCATCGACGTTGGAAGAGCCCCGGATCTGCGATCCCTCGGCGATGGAGGCAGCGGCCCGGGTTTCGGGGACGGTGGCGGTGGCCGCATGTGCGGCCATGGCGTTCTTCTACGTCGCGATCCTCTACTCCCCGACCCTGATCCTTCGCCTCCCTCCACCGGCATCGCTCGATAGCTTCATGATCCGGCGGTTCGCCTGCGCGGCTGTCTCCTCCGCCGCCTCTGTGCTTGCCTGCGGCCTCCTCCTCGGAGTAAGCCGCTTGTCGCTTCATCTCCTCCTCGAATCCCAGGGACTCAAATATGGCTTTTTTATCAGCTCGGGAAACTCGACGATTTGCCATCTATCCTCGGTGTTCTAGGTATCAGGAGAGATCACTTGGTAAGTTATCGAGTTTTTTTTGGAGATTTTCTAACATTGCAAGCTTAATGGTGGGGATTGTGCAGTGGCAAGCTGTGGCCTTTCCTCTGCTACTGACATCCTTCCTGTATACCGGGTCATTCGTGTCGAGGTCATGGAACTTGATTAGTGCATCAACAGAAAGGAGCGAAAATTCTTACGGGGAAGATGGAATCTGTGGACAAGGGTGTACAGATTGGGTGTGTGCATATGCCCGGAATGTGATGGCTTGGCGTAATTATGTGGTGGTAAGCGCACTTCTTTCCCTGGATATATATGCTTCGTAACATGTATCCATTTTTTTTACTAGATTCTAATCGACTGAATTATGTAAATTATAGGTTTCTATAAATGTAAGACACATGTGCAACCCAGGGTCACGTTTGATTTTCTTGACATCCAATTTTAGTTTAACCAGGTAGAGTCTTATTTCAATGTATCTCTTTTCAGACTCTTTAATCACTAAATGAAAGAGTTCCAGAAGGATTAGGAGTTTATTCAAAGGATAAGTTGAAAGAAATAAGAATCCAACTGACACCTAATTAGAGTAGGAATAGTGGTTGGCTATAACTACGTATGACATAGGGTGCTGGTCAACAGATTATATGCAAATAACGTTTGATGCAGAATTAATTTGCTTGATGGCAGCAAGCATTTTCTTTTTGATGCTACAGATTGTTGGGAGAGCAAACAAGCAGCCTCCAATTATCTCTCCTTTATCATCTCCTCTATTTTTCCTTATCATCTGAAATTAATTTACACTAAACAGTGTCATAAGAAGATTCTTCAGTTCACAAACAAACTAATCTTTCCACTCTTTTGCCACATTGATCAAGAGACTTGGTGCAACCAAAATAGATAGAAAATTCGGATTGTTCAAACTTCAAACCATATATGTTTTGACCCACTTGCCAATGTGACAATTCTTCCTCCATGATTTACAATTTTCAGTAGTGTTGCTAAGGTATCCTATTTTACTGATTGTTTTTATTTTGTTTATTTTGCTGAGATATATCTTTTTTGTTTGATGGTACCGTTCATGAGAATTTAACATGACATAAATGTCATGAACTAGGGAGAATGGGATGATGAGTTGGTTTGAAATTTGAAGCCTATGAATAATAGGGCAATAACCTTCAATTGTTTCCATACTTTATTTTATTTATTGTCTATGTTCTTTTTAATTGGAGCTCACGTATGCACACATTTTCCATATCCATTATACAGTACCCAATCGCCTGCATTCTACTTCAACTTTAAAATAAAAATTCTTAATATTATGCTAATTAGACAAGTTTACAAAAAACACTCTTACAAGGGATTAAAGTCTTAATACTTTCCATTTATCTTGGAGGTGCATTTCTTTTTTCCAAGTTCTTATACAATGAAAGATATAGCATCACTAGGAGATATTAAAGGTAATTAGTTCAAATCAGAATGTGATATGCCTATTGCTTTGGTTTGATATTTTTGGTGATTGACTTATTGGATGACTTGACATAATTGTTTGGGGCATATTCTTAGATAATTTTTCAGTTATTAATTGCTTCTTGTGACTGATAAAGGGTGGTTCTTTCTTAGCTTCACAAATATTGATTTATTCCCTCGTGTATGCAATAATTGAGGTTCGAGCCTTTTGTTGGGATCTATACATTTAGGTAGTTTGAAATAGAATACCTAATGTTAAGAGAATGGAAGTTTGATATTCTAGAAGCTGAATCTGTAGGCAGTCCCTGTTTTTAACCAATGGTAATTTTCTCATCACACCATAGTAAGCGGTTTGTATTCTTTGAGGCAACGTGATAATTCAGCTGGGTTTAGAAATAAATCATCCAAGTCTATCTGAAACTTTTGATTAATAGTTTATTGTTGTCTTGTGTTCAAGACTTTTTTTTTTCTTTTCCTCTTTGCCTTTGTTTAGAAGTGTAGCAATTTTTTCTTTGTGAGATAAACTGACAAGTAATTTCTATGGACAGGCACCATTTACTGAAGAGCTTGTTTTCAGGGCCTGTATGATACCATTGCTCCTTTGTGGAGGATTTGGAACTAGCAGTATCATATTTTTCAGTCCGGTTTTCTTCAGTTTAGGTAAGTAGATGCTGATCTCTCTAGTTTCTCAACTTTGTATTGCTTTTGAGTTTTACTATGGGTTTGTAAATTGATTCTCAATTCATACATGAAGCATACTAATCTTTGGATGTATTAATTATTAATGTAAGATGTTTTTGCAAAAAAAATTTTGTCTCCACCCATAACTTTAGATTGCATTTACCAATTTCTATGCATGTTTATATTGTAAGTTCAATGCATCCTTACCATTCTTCTTTCTTCAAATTTGTTGGATATGATAATAGCAAGTGGCTGTACCAGAAACTCTTTGAGTGATCTTGATAAACGCAACATTTCTTATTTCTTTGGCAGTAGACTTGTAATATTTCATTGGCAGTAGTTCCATCAATCATGCAACATAACATTTCTTATTTATGATCTTGATAAACAAACCTACTTCAAGTTCTAGACTTTTCATATTTTTGCGACAGTAGTTCCATCATTCATGCAATATAGCATTTCTTCTTTGAGTGATCTTGGAATTTTATTATCCATCTTTTTCCCATCTCTTCTTTTGTTTCAGCACACTTAAATCATTTTTTGGAGCTCTACTATCAGCAAAGATACAGATTTATGAAGGCTTTCCTGATTGTAGGTACTTCTTTTATCCTAGTGCTGATATGTCTTCCACTTGTTCTTTTAAGTCATGAAAAAACATAACTGTTAACATTTTTCTACTCCAAGACTTTTTATGCAATTGCAATCTTAAATTGCTGTTTCATTCTTGCTAGGCTTCCAGCTTGGTTATACTGTGATATTTGGGTGGTATGCGTCTTTTCTCTTCATTCGAACAGGTTTGTGCACATTGAATATGTTATTACATAAAATATGATGCCTTCTCTTTAGTACTCTACTCTTTAGAAAATTATTTGGATGTAGAAACTTCTTTTGCGTGGGCTTTTGTTGTTTTTTGTTATAATTATATCTGAAACAATGTTTGTAGCCACTGTAAGACTGGTGACAGTGTGGTTGCTCCTTGATGGATGTTTATTATAGATGAAAGTTTTCTGTAGTCCAATAACATTGGCATAAATAAATGCAGGACCTGACAATTTTAAAAAAAAAAACTTCACTAGAAGTGACAGCTTATAATCTTATTGGAAATCAAGTTTCGAGTAATTGGAAAAAGATCAAATATGAACACCCATAGTATGTAATTTTTTTGTAGTTGGTCCATGCTCTGGTAGATATGAGTCTATGTGGATATTATTGGATACATTTGCTGACATGAATTAATCTGTTTGGTCATATACAGGGAACTTAATATCTCCTATTGTGGCCCATGTTTTTTGTAATGTGATGGGTCTGCCATTGTTGTCATCTCCAAGGACAAAAGGTTTGTCCACTCAGTTCAAATGATTTCACTGTCAAATTTATTGCTTCTAGTTCAACAAAATTTGACCTTGCAATTACTAGCTTTGTAATTCCTCAGGAGTATAACAGCACTTATCTAAGTATCCTTATTTCAGGTGGATTTTTCTATTGTGGTGGTGTATCTTTCCACTTTAACACCCCAATTTAGTCTCACATTGGATGTAGACTAATATTTAAATTGACTTACAAGAGGCTGATAGGTGTTCTATTGTTACTTTCGTCTTAAATATTTTGGGTCAGTGGTTCGGACTCAATGAAGTTGATGGATCAGTATTCGATCTTGTATTGGGGAATGGTGAGAGATTCAATCAGGAAAGGTCTATTCGTAGATGACACTAGAGGGCTGGGGAGAATGAAATGCCCTAACTTAGTCACACTGACTAACGGATGTAATTTATCATTTTTTCCTTTTGAGAGCAAGTTGAATATGATTATATCCTCTAATATCTAGATAATATACCTATTTTTTCAAATATGAATACATCCTCCAATATCTCTTAGTAATATATCTCATTTTGATCATATCTCCACTTAGATATAACAATCCCTATAAAAAAATTATGCTTCTGATGCACTACACTAGTTTTATTCATCTAAATTCTCAAAAGTAGGGCCACTTAATAAACTAATCCTATGGGCTCCAATTCCAACAGGTTCCTAAATCCATTGCACCGGATAAGAGAAGTTCATTGTAACGACCAAGAATTTTCTGCTCCTCAGATTAAAAATTACCATAATTAGAGTTTTATTTTATTTGAATTGATTTGTTTCCTTGTTTGTGTTATATAATAAATGAAAGTTAATAAAGATTTGAAATTTTCTTCTGTAATTGTGTGGTCTAGCTAGAAAACTAATTAATTAATTAATCCAAGGATAAAATATTTTGTGTATCTTGAGGGGAATGCCCCTTCCTCTCTTATATAATGCTGGTCAGGCCTTCTCTTTTATTCATCAATGAGTCAAGAGAAGCCTAACAGCAGGAGGGGTTAGAGGGAGGAGAGGGACCTCAATCCTGAAGGAAGGTAGGTCCTCTACTTTTTTTAGTTTAAAGTTTTTATTTATATTTGAGTTGCTAGCATTTCTGAAAAAATAAGATATTAAAGTATTATATTTTTAGAGACTATGATACATGAGAATCTCATTCATATTAGTTTGATTTTGATTCATGATTAATCAATTATAGTTCATGTTCCTTATATTTTAGTGGATTTAATTATATTACAATATATTAATTATTAAGTTTAGCATGTTGATTTAAGTAATATTTTTTTATGGAAATTATGCCATTAATATTTATGTGGATTTAATCATTTTGCAACATCTTAATTATTTAATTTAGCATGTTTACTTAATGAATTTGCTTATTGTCCATTTCATTAGAATTTCATGTTGTATTGAATTAGATCATATCATTACATTTATCAATTTCATGTTGTATTAAAAGGGGAAAAAATTAAAATTGGATATAGAGGTTTGACTTGAGTTCGACCCGAACTAGATTGACCAGTCGAACTTGATCGACGTAGCCAGAGTCGTGCTCGGGCTCAGCCTATGGCATGCAGCTGAGCATTGAGCCCACTAGCCCGCATAGATGTGCTGCAACACCTAGCAGGCTGGCTCAATAGACTTGCACAAGACCTGGCTTGGGATCGACTCAGCCCGAGGTTGGCGTGGCTTGGATCTCAACCTGTGGCTCGGCTTGGTGTAGGCAACCCATAAAGGCTTGATACAACCCATGATCAGCTCATCGCAACCCAGCGCCTGAGGCCCTCACACTGGCTGACATTGAAGCCAAGCCTGCTGCCCTCCTCAACCGTGTGGGCATGTACAACCATGTGTTTGCAGTGTTAATTCGTCTGGATTTTCATGTTTGCTTGTTAGATTAAGATACCAATGTGTTAAATTAAGGTAGATAGCCTATATTTGAACTTACAGGGACAGCAACTGTGGCTGCTGCAGCTGGTGTGGTCGGTTTCTTATATCTTCTATTTCCAGCCACACGACCAGGACTGTACAATGATATGAGAGATGGCTGTAGCTGTTGGCACCGATATTGTAGTTGGAGTTGATACTGAAGTTGGATGGTAGCAACAGAAGAAAGTCACAACACGAAAGAGAAGCTCAAGAGCCCTCATCGACTTGAATCAGACAACAGGAAAGTTGTTTCCTTTTGGTTTTTACTTCTGTTAATGAAAATTTAGTGTTTTTTAGGTATGTTTGTTTTACATGTATTCTACATTGCTTTTCCTGATATTGATTCCTGTCCAATTCCTATGCTACATGGTATGCCTGGGTTAATAATGATCTTCATTCAAAAAAGCATCTTAGGTTAAATCCCCTTTCTTTAAGTACTTCCCCTGAATGAATCGTTGTTTGAACAATCATGTTAGTGGTAGTTAATGGGAATAACCGTAAGCAAGATAAAGCAGTAAATAATTCAACTAAAATTTTAAATTGAACAACCATCCTTTTGTTGCTATGTCACTTCTATTAATGTCGAGTATGCTCATTTTTTGAATTGTGTTTGCACAATATGTTATTGTTACTTTGCAGATTATGCTAGTCTTAATCTAGAATGCTATCATATGGTAACTACTGCCTGAAGACATAGACGATCTAACATTGCTCAATAGAAAGTAGGAGACCAGGAAAAAAAAATGGTATTGTTAAATAAGTTGATTTTTCCTACAAAAGTGATAACCTTTTGGATTGTGGGTCTTCGATAAAACAAGATAAGAAGAAGAAGAAGAAGCTGCTTGGTGGCCTTCTGGTGGTGGGGCGTGGGGTTTATATGGGATGCAAGATGGGCATTGGTGGAACGTTCTTCTCTCTCTCTCTGGCTGGCTGACAGACAAACTCATGGTGGCAGGCATAGGAATCATGCTTGTGTGGGGAATATAAGCAAGCGAGCAAATAGAGGCATGGAGGCGGGCGGGCGGGCGGCGGAGAGGAGATTGAGCATGGGTCACGGTATGGTGGGGGTGGCTCTCCGAAACAAAACGGCTATGAGCGGGGTGACCTGCCTTCCTTCAGGATGGAGGTCCCTCTCCTGCTGTTAGGCTTCTTCTCTTGATTCATTGATGAATAAAAGAGAAGGGTCGAGCAGCATTATATAAGAGAGGAAGGGGCATTCCCCTCAAGATACGAAAAATATTTTAATTTTGGATTAATTAATTATTTAGTTTTCTAGCTAACCCACACAATTAAGGAAGCAATTTTCAATTCTTTACTAACTTTCGTTTATTATATAACACAAACAAGGAAACAAATCAATTCAAATAAAACAGAACTCTAATTATGGTAATTTTTAATCTGAGTAGAAAATTCTTGATCCTTACAATGGGCTTGTCTTATCCAGTGCAATGGATTTAGGAACCTGTTGGAATATGAACCCACAGGATTAGTTTCTTAAGTGACCCTACTTTTGAGAATTTAGATAAGTAAAATTAGTGTAGTGCATCAGAAGCATTTTCTTTATATAGGGACTTGTTATATCTAATTAGAGATATATTACTAGGAGATGATGTTAGCAGAAAGGATGTTATGTTCTAAAATTCTGATTCCCATACAGAACTTGCAAAACATTTTATCTCGATCTTTGCCTCTAAACAGAACTTGGAATTACAAAGCTTAAGCTTAAGGTATTTCTGAATGACACCAATTAACTTGATTGTTCGTATAGCCTTTGAGGTGACATCTCAAACGTTAGGATATTATATATGCTGTTAATATTTAGAGGGTTGGAGCCTTTGACTCTTAGAGGCTTCTTTGTTTCGACGTGATGATTACACGGAGGCGTGGGACGTCTGATGGGACTTTGGACTGAGAGATTGGTGGGTATTTGGTCAACCTTTTTTGTTGTTTTCTTCTTCCTTTGTCATTTTCATTGGACCTCACATCGAATCTACGTCACATATATCATCACTCTTTGACCCATCACCCTCTCCTCTGCATTTTGGATCTACATAGCTGAATCCCTGTTAGTTCACATGTTGGATTGCAATGCTGTGTTCTTGGAGTTACAAAGTATCCTTGCTAGGCTTGTACATCCTTGGTCCCACACGATTCATATGCAGCTTCTTTGCAGGCCATTCCAAATGCAGCTGAGTTCTTGTTCGACTGGGGATGACTTCGTTCAGGTACGATGGTAACTCTGGACATCCTGAGTGCATCATTTTTAACGAGGGAAATATTTCTTGTTCGGACAAAGTTTTAGAAACAATCACATACATGACTGCTTCATTTCCTGCCGATCTAGCTACATATGTAGGATGCACACAATCTATCACCACGCCAAAACATCCAAAAAAGATTAAAAGTCCTGTAGAAGAGATGTTTCTACTAAGTTGAGTGCTTGTTTCCGCTGGAGGTCATGGTGGATGATGGGGGAGTAGCGTTGAGGTCTGGGATTTTGGGATTGGGGTTGGAGGTGGCACTGGTGCTGGCCAGCGTCTGCTTCTGCTTCTGCTTCCGCTTCAGCTCAGACAGGAGAGCCTGGTTCTCCTGGTTGAGAAGCTGTGCTTTCTTCCTCAGCCTCTCGTTCTCCTTCATGATGTAGCAGTTCTGCAAGTACAGTTGGGTGTTGAGCCTCTCCATGACTTGTCTGCATAGAGTATGTATGTTAGTTTATAGAACTCTGGCTACGACAGTGCTCAATTGAAAGTGAAAGAAGCAGCAAAGCAGATCTATATTTGCAATTGACCTGTTGCTTTTCCCGAAAAGAAGAAGAAAAGGTCGAGGTACTGCAACAGAAAAATCTACAAGGAACAAAAGCCACACCAGAAATCCAACTGCCAACAAATCAAAAGTTGATCTCAACAGGTTAGAGCCATGTCTGTGTGTGTGATGGAGAGACTAACATGAAGTCGTACAATTAGACACGAAAAGAAGGGAAGGACAACATTGCGTTAATTGTGGAAGAAAATGGTTTAAAGAGGTAATCCCCATCAGGAGAAGAGAAACTGGAGAAGGCAGAGTCAAAGCCAACATACACTTCTATCAGAAGACTCGACTCTTCGAAGATTCTATCCCAACAGAAGAAGAGCTGTATAACAAGGATTTGCATTAGTTCCTACAAAAGTGATCACCTTTTGGGTTGTGGGTCTTCGATAAAACTAGATAAGAAGATGAAGAGAACAAGAGGAAGAAGAAGAAGAAGAAGTTGCTTGGTGGCCTTTTGGTGGTGGGGCGTGGGGTTTATATGGGATGCAAGATGGGCATTGGTGGGACGTCTCTCTCTCTCTCTCTGTGGCTGGCTGACAGACACACTCATGGTGGCAGGCACAGGAATCATGCATGTGGGAATGTAAGCAAGCGGGCAAAGAGAGGGAGGGAGGCGGGCGGGCGGCCGGGAGGAGATTTGAGAATGGGTCACGTGATGGTGGGGGTGGCTCTCTGAAAGGGGCATTAGTGGGAATATACGCGGAGTGACCACAACATGAGAAACGGCTCTGAGCGATTTCGTTGGAGACGCCCAAAGCCGTTTCTCATGGTGTGGTCACCGCTTCCATTCCTCCTAATATCCCACTCGAAGGGGCCACCCAGGAAGAGGAAGGGGATGTCGAAAGACTGCAGCAGCTGTTCTTGGCAAAAGATATGTCTAGCAATTTTGGTAACGTAGTATTATTTTTATTATTATTTCTTTATTTTCTTTATTTCTTCTTTTAATGCAGCATAAAAAGAAGAACAAATAGGTGGAGGCTTCAATTACTGCGGGGTGAGTAGGAGAGAAATGAGGCAGGTTTTGAGATGGCAGCACCATGATCATGTTGGCTTACACTGGAACAACATGATGGCGAAGACTAGGAGGTAAATGCATGGCGGCAACACTCGAGGTGATCTGTAGCTCCTCTTTCCACACAACTATCGAGGATTGAAACCAAGGCAGTGTTTGCATGTGGGTGGATGGGCGAGCTGATGGCCCATTGCTGCAGCAAACAGAGCGTAGGGTTTCGATCAGTTTTTGCATGGCTCCAGGAACAGAGATGATTGAGTTCGGCACTCAAGTGCTGCACTCGATAACTAGTCAAAAAGCACAGACTGTATCATTCCATGGCAGCTTCCGGCAGGAGGATTGTGGTACTTTTCGCCATCATTTGCGCCTCCTGCGCAGGCGAAGAAGATCTGGCAAAGCAATGAGGATGAGTGGGTCATACTGGGATGGACATAAAGGCCGGCCGAAGAGCTTTCTCTGGATTTGCCAGCACAGCTTGGAGGGGAAAGGGCAGAGTTCAGATTACACAGTCTTGATCTTTCGAGCAGGAAACAAGGATTTGATCTTCCATTACAAAAGGGAGGATTGCAGGGTCAGACCGAGCTCTGCAGGTGCCATTGAACACATAGCCCACTCATCATAAGCAACGTGTCACATTAGGAATTAAAATTTGAAAATTAGTATTAAAAAAACTAAATACAAAGTTAGTATTTAAAAAAATGAAAATATATAATCGTCTCCTAATCATATTTCTTCAATCTCATAATATAATAACGATATCAGTTAGCTTGGTTGATAAATATATTGATAATTTAATCGAAGATCTTAAACTCGAATTTCATCTTTATCGTTTATCTTTTGTAAAAAAAAAATTATAATATAATTAAAGGATTGATTATGCTATGTCTGAACCAAAGAAATCGAAGGTGAAATTTGAATAAAATAAAGGGAATAATGTAAAATGAATTGTTCAAAAAAGTTGAGAAAAGATGGGTATAAATAGTTTTTCAAACCAATCATGAGTTGCCATGTGGCATTATATGTTGCAAGCGCGATATTAACATAAGGAAGAGAAATAGTAATACTAACTACGAGCAATGAGAGCGAGATGAGTAAGAAAAATATTGGCGAAAGATTGGCATGATTCTCTAAGTTGGAATTGTGAAGAAGAAATACAGGTAAAACTATAATTTGTGATTTTTTGCATGAAATGGTTTGATTTTTTTTATGATTTTAATATTTTTCTCCTTAATAAAACATATTGCTAAAGATTATATTAATCAATGAAAAAAGATCAACAAAATGTGAAAGATATTTATATACAAATTAGAAATTTTTATAATTTTTTAAGAATAGAAATAAATCATAAATAATTACACTGAGATTGGGGTGGTTTTGCTAGTCTTTTAAGCTTGGTCATAATGGGACATGCTTTTCTAGATGTTTCAAATAGCTTATAACCCACCCCAAACTCAATGTAGTTAGTTTCTATTTCAACATTTTTATAAAATGATTTGGATTAAAAATATTTCTTATTTTGCTGGTTTTTCTCACGAATTAATTTTATATATTCATTTAAAAAATTAAATAATATTTTTTTATTTCTTTATGAAAAAATATAAAACGATCAAAAATATTAAAGCATTTAAATCACAAATCATGGTTTTACCATGCTTCTTTATCGTTTCACCTCACGAGTCATAACTTTTATCAGCACATTGATCGCTTATATCGCGAAATATACAAGACCCGTGTATCATGCGTCCATCGCTCATAACTAATGTTACTATTCCTTTTTCCTTCGTTGTTGTCATATGACTTGCTCGCATATTACCTTGTGGCAACCCAATGATTGGTCTCAAAAACAATTTATATTTCATTTTCTCATCTTTCCTCCATTGTTTATTTTATACCGTTACCTATATTTTGTCCAAAGTTTCACCTTTTGTTTAGATGATTTTTTAAATGTTTTTCCTGATGCAATTTTTTCTCTTTTTTATGCATCCATGAAAATTTTCTCATACCAACCAAAGTACACACGAAGACTAAGCGTATTACTGCGATGTGCTGTCAATTGTGTACTCTATATGCCTAATAGTGTTTTCATTGAGAGCATCTTACGCACACGAAGCTTAATGGTTGGAGACTTTGCCCCATGATGACCATCAATCAACGCGAATGCGAATGCTACCTTTAATGCATCCCCGTGCACACGCTACCTACCCTTGGCTTCTTTTACCTCGCAACATTGTGAGCACCATAGTGTAACGTATGCAATTATATCGTGCCATCAATGAAGGCCATCAATTTGCCTGCCAATGCACAGTACAGGAGATCTACGACGGCGGCCAACCGTCCGCCACAAATAGCCTACCCCTGAGCCGGTCATGACCGATTCGATTGCACACCGCCGTCTCGCGTCGGCAGCTAGTCCCCACGGACTCGCTGACGCCGCCGTCTCGCGTCGGCGGGGAGTCCCCACGGACTCGTTGACGCCGCCTGGTCAACACGAGACCGAGTCGTCACCCGTGACCAACCTGACCGCACACGGAAACGACGAGGTATCCCTCACGACGTTATTCTTTAAGATTTAGAGAGAAAAATAAATAAACGAAATATTAAAAGAGAAATAAGTGGGAACTACTAATTAATAATAGTTTACATTTTCCAGGCTTTTTTTTAACCACCACCCGAACCTAAAAAGAAAAAAGAAAAAAAGAAATGGAGAAAGCAATCCACCAGAAAGCCGTCAATCATCATCATATCACAAGGGAGTGGGGTCTCCTCCGGGACGAGATCGGGGCCGTCCATCGAGCCGGGGGAAGGGGGAGACGGAGGGTGGAGATTCTTCAGATCTTGTGGAGCTTGTCGGCCTTCACGACGGGGTTGGCGCGGGCGATGGCCGCGCGGCCGGCCGCCTTGAAGTCGAACGTGCAGTCGTGTTGCTCGGCGTACCGATGGACGCCGCAGTAGGTGGCCCCGCACCGGCACTGGAACCCCGTCAGCCCCACCCTCTTGCGGCACCTCGCGCACCGGCTCGGCCCCTCCGCCGCGCTCTTCTTCTTCTCCGTCTCCTCCGGCGGGGCGGCCGGGACAGAGGCGCCGCTCACCTCCTCGTCAACCACGACGACGGCTGGGGAAGAGGCAGGGAAGGATTTCGCGACGGTGAGCATCGCCGAGGCGGCGGAAGAAGAGGCCGGCTGCTGCTGTCGCTCCTGCTCCTCCTTGAGGCGGTGATCGCGGTAGCATTTAGAGCAGAGGTTGAGCGTCGCGGGGCTCCCGAAGAAGCCACAGTTGTTCGCGCAGAGGCGGTGGCCCTCCTGGCATCGCTGCTCTTCCGCCATTCTCCTCCCTCCCCTTTCTTTCCAGATCAATCGCTCGGCCGGTCAATCTGCACGCGACCAATAGCAAGCACACATCAAATATTATAGATCGACCACCAAATCCGCTCCTTTTCTCCCTCTGACAATAATATAAAAGACAAATCTTTGGCGTTACGGATCCACAAAATCCATTGCTTCCGGTTCAAGAAAAAGGCAACACCACAACCCAAAAGCTCAAACAACCTCTACAGCAAGGAATCCCATCAGAAACATGCGCATGGCATACCGTCTCAACGATCTCCACAACCACAAAAAGAGAAAGAGAGAAAGATTGAGAAAACGGCACCTTGTTATGTGAGAACAAGGCGAACACCAAATCGGTGCCTTGAACCGCGTGGCCGATTCCAAGGGAGGAGGGGAGGAGAAGAATAGGATTTCGCGGAGGATTAAAAGGGTACGGGAGTGGGAGGAGGCAGCAGCCTGGCTATGGGAGGAAGAGGGTCTCCGGGCTGGGTTGTAATATAGGGAAAGAGGTGGTCAGAGATGGAGATAGAGAGAGAATTAGGGATTCTATATGATAAAAAAGAATAACAAAATGGAAGCGAAAAGGAAAGAGGGGGAGATAAAGCCGGACGCGAGGTGGGCGCGCAGCACCGGAGATTTTTTTGGGTATCGAAGAAAAAGAGAGTACGTGGCGTCGTCTCTCAGAAACTATGGGGTGGGTTTTGGTGGGGCCGGAGATGATTCCACCTCCCCCTGATCTGCCTTCCCCTCCTCCCTTCGTGGGTAAAATTGGGGGCGGGACGGGCTCGGCGAAGGACGCGGATCGCCTGTCCGAACCCGCGCAGCGTCGACGTTGTGTCCCACGTGACGGCTTCTGATTGGTTGTCATCTGTGGGCGCCGCGTTTCGACCCAAACTCGGAGGTGAGGGAGAGAGGTGTCTGATGGGCTAACCCAAACACCACTAATCTAGAAGTCGGGTTGATCTCAAACCAGATGCAGCTCAAAAGGACGCTCGAAGTCACGCGCAGCTTCTTCGGTGTCCAATAATAGAGTCACATCAAAGATCTTAGGAAACGTTTAATTTGGACAGTGCAAGTGACGGATTTAATTGGCAGGTTGAATTTAGGTGAAAAATTATAATTGTCATTTAGCGTTATTGGTTTGTTCAAAATACTTATTATATTAAACAATTGTGTGACATGGTATTATTATTATTGAGCAAAGGCGAAGATAAATTTTTTTATTTTATTTATAATTTCTAAATTGGTTAGACAAACTGATCGTTAAGGTGAGAGTCAAAGTCGATCGAAACTTTGTTCAAAGACGAGACTTGATTATACCAAATAAGAAATAAATAGGTTTCGATTATTTGACTCGTTGAGGTTAAAGATAATTATAAGCTTTTGTTGTCTTGAATTTTCTAAAAAATTAAATTGAGATAAGCTCGATATTTTTTTTTTTAATGTAGTACATGGATTTGATAGTTCAAAAAATTAAGTAAATTATTAGTTTAAAAAAATAAGTGAGCATATGAGATCTTTTTATAATGGATTGAAACTCCTTTTTATTTTTTAGCATATAAGAATAATTAGATACAACGAAAAGAAACTTAGTTAATGCAAATTAAAGCCAAGAACTTGAACATCCTTTCATAAATAATATTGCTCTTAACTTATTAGATCTATTAGAGAAAATATTTTAGAAGCAATATTTTTCTTCATATTCCAACAACAAAAATAACATGCACCTAAATAAAAACTAAATCCCCACTCGATCATCATCAGATTATAAGTTAGAAGATCATTTTCCCTCTTTGTATTTATTCCGAGAAGAGAATATTAAATATCTTCTCGTTCTCTTTTCGATAGAAGCAAAACAAAACAAAACAAAAATTCTTTTTCTTTTTTATATTTAAGATTTATAATTTTTATTGAGATATTCGAATTGGAATATCATTTGATATGGTTTAAGATTTCAAAAAGAGATTTATAATCAAATAAAAGCCCACCACTGCCTTCTCTATCTATGCGCTTAATTGATCAGTAGCCAAATCCATTTCTCTCTCGTCTCTCATTCTTTTATCTCCACCGTCCAAAGTATAAGGCGGAAAAGTAATATGGCTTTTATGTCCATGTTGATGGGTTCTTATCCGGATGGACCGGCCGACCATGAAAGCAAAAAGAATCAATCATTGTTGACCTCATTCTCTCGTATGAACTGCACTCAACTTTAATGTGGTATGCAGATTAGGCTGTTGAATTATGCATCAACTTTCGCCTTTTTATTACACATCATTATTTATGTTCATATATATATATATATATATAATATCATTATTGTTACAGGTGAGGTGGATAGTGTTCTTCCAACCACTCTTATAAGTGGCGACGCTGCGACCTTTGTGATTCCGTTGGGCGGTGGTGCCAATCGTGGCTACACCTACACCGCGCCGACTCTTACATTTCTGTTTCCGCCCTAAACGACCATGGCATGCGGCGCGGGTGGACGACGACGGATTCAAACACTTCTCTGAGATGTACCCACTTGGATACCTGGATGTTCATTCGGAAACTATTATCGGTCCCGAAGGGCGAAACGTCAGGTATGGGGGAGGGTAGGTCAAGCAAGGGCAGCAAAGGTTCGAGCTAATTCTTGGGGCCCACGCGATGGAGTACTAGTTGGCTTGGGTATGTGGTACGTTGCTAAGCGCGAGTGCGTCTTCGAAGTGGATCTGAAACGAGTACAGCGACAATACAGCTTACGTCGTATCCCGGCAAATGGGGCCCACTTGAAATTTCATTCTTATCCATCCACTTCGCGGGGCCCGCTGGGAGTTGTGAGGCTGTGCGGCTGTCAGAAGTGACGCGATCCTCGTCGAAGGGAATCTATCGCTGCCTTTTGGTTGCCTCGTCACCCGAGGTGGGTGCGGGTTTCTCTCTCCTCGGTATTTTGGCAACTTCCTTCTCAAAAATAAAATATCTAGTATTCACCCTTTTCTCATAAAATATTTTATTCTTTATATTTAAAAAATAAAATTATTCTTGATTTTAATCTTATCAATCATCGTCATTGTCTTATCACGACTATCTCTATCTCTCATCATTGTCTCATTGCAAGATCTTATTGTCTCTACATGATCATCTCAACCTCATCGTGCTCACACCTCTCCATCTCACCCTCGACTCTCTTCGTCTCAACGTGACTCCCTTTTTTATCAATACCATTGCTCTCCAACATCCGATTCAATACTTTCCCTTTCGTCACCCTCCTTCATCTTCATTGCCAACAACACATTCTAGAAGAAAGACTTTGAGCCTCCGAATAAAGAGAATGTACGAACGGAGAAACTCTTTCAGAGTAGAAAAAAAAGTGAAAATCTTTTCTTTTGAGAAACAGGATTGAATTAAACGGTAAAAATACGAAGGGTAACACGAAGGTAAAGAGAGTCGAGAGCGAGCGAGGAAAAGAGTGAGATAAAGATACGATAATATAAAGATCATGAATAATCTTAATTTTTATAAAATAAAAAATATTTAATTTGCCCCCACATCTTTCTTCCCAACATATTATTCTGACTACAAACCAAAAGATATAGGAAACAAAATTGATCCACACTAAAAAGAGAAAAAACTAAGTCCTCACCATCGACCATCGTTGTGGGAAGTCATATAAAGTCATCCAAAATTGATGTGACATGCGCGTTTTGCCTTATGTTTTAATTATATCATTTTTAAACACATGCTAATTAGTCACATCATACTTTTGATTTCAAATTAGAGTAGGAGTGAACGGGGGGAAGCCCACAAGCTCTCTACCAATTGCTTTGACAGTGGATTGGAGTTTGCTAAGAACGAATTTGGTTCAAAGTGATGTATCGGCAAAAAAAGCTTTGGATTTTATATATCTCTACCAAAAAGATGGCTTTAGCTTTTCTAACGAAGACACTATAATTGAAGGGTTGGGTTGCACGAAGACATGATAACTTTCATATGGGCTTCATCACATATCCTAAGCTATACTACAAAGAAGAATGATTCATCTTTGAATGCACTAATGGTTCATATGGTACCCATCCGATTGCCATATCAAAATGAGGTTTAGGTGGCTTGTCGCCATCATGATAGGAACGGTGACAACTACAAAAGTTATCATGTAATCTATTAAAAGGTGCTACGAGATAGTTATTTTAGTTCCTAGCGTTTCTTTTTCTTGCCTTAAAACACTAAAAATTATTAGTGTGATAGTAGATTTTAATCGTATTAGTTTTAGAGAACGGGGTATAAATTATCATTGGTGATATGAGTACTTCCAATTCCTATAATGGAAAAAGAATTTAGTATTCTTCCTTTGAGAAAGAAAGGACTAAAAAAAAGGTTTGAATAGTATAATCTTTCATCATTCAAGAAAAAAGATACTTCAACATCTAGTTCTACTACGTAAAGTCCAATGAACGATTCTCCTTTAAGATTATGATTATTTAGGTTGATAGCTAGCATGCCTCGGTGATCAATGGACATAGATGAATTTTTTCAGGGAAGAGATTTGTTTATGTATGCATTTAGTGTACAATTATTTTGTAACGAGTAGTTTTGGCGAAACTTCAAATGTTATTCAAACGTTAAACGTCTATCTCATGCGCTAACTATATAACATCTTTGTGTAGGGTCAATTAGTTGTCTACGTACTATTTTTCTTATATTACTAAATAAGTTTGTAATTAGAATACATTGAATTATATGATTTATATTATATTATATTTTTCTAAAAAATTCACTCTTGAGATTTGAATGTGAGATGCCTTAAGATTTAATCATAAAAAATGGATTATATCATCTTTTTTTCTTCTACCGTATATTAAAAATAAACTACAACGTTACATTTATAAGATGATATTGAATCATCTCGATATATCGTTAATTCATTATTGCATCAGTAATAAGTCTCGAGTTTCGAGATCATATATAAGTGTCATGTACTCGGGCCTATGGAACATGAACCACTAGTTTTCTATTTAATCAAAATTAATTATTTCATATATAAACATAAATGAAAAGTCAAAATATTCATTCTATATATTTAGTTAGGAGTTTTTCCTCATCTAATCGTTGAAAGTCACATCGAATCAAAAAATGTAGCTTCGGAGGCAAATCAAAAATATGGTCAGTCTTTTTCTAGAATACTCAAAGCATGACTTGAGAGATTAGAAGGATGTTGAATGAGGTATATTGCTGGTGCGAGATGGGTCCAAGTTAGAAGTTTTGGAGCCCATGAAAGCCATCAACCCACCTAAATACGAATCAGTCCACATAAAAGTATTCATCAAAATGCAGCAATATAATACAATTAGGAAAGGTAGTAAATGAATATTAAACTTGTAATACAAGTCTTTGATCAACTAACAATATGTTAAAATTTAAAATATATCTTTTATTATATTTTATCTTTTAAATAAGTTAATTAGATACAATTATGGAGATAAGGGTTTTAAAATTGATTACAAATCAAAGTGTCTTAAAATTAACTTTAAATCTAATTTATGATGCAAAAACCAAATATATTGAAATTGCATATTATTTTATTTAAAAAAAGATGATTCCAATAATCATTAAGGTCATGGAGATCAAAAGCAAAGATAATATCATAAATATCTTCATTAAATCTCTTTCTAAATTTCAAGGAACAGTATTAATATTTAAATTATATCTTTTAAAAAATAATATTATTATTTTTTATCTTTTAAAGAGAGGGATCTCTTGGTTTAAATTATTATTCCACACTTATCAACATGTAGGATTTACATGTGGAGATCCATCCAAGTCTGAATGTTTTAAGTCTATAAATTTAAGTCCAAGAGTAGCTTAAGATCTAATAAATATTTTTTTATTTATATTTCCTAATATATACATTACATATTTATTTGTTTTAGGGCAATTATATTGAGGCTTGCTAGTTAGCATAAGTAAATAAATGAATAGATCAGTAATCGTGTATATGTTTGTTGAATTAACAATTAG